TGTAGAAGAGAAGACGATGATGTGGCATCAAAAACTAGGTCACATGTTAGAAAAAGGTTTAAAAGTTCTCTTTGATCAGAAGTTACTTATACACTCCACAACAAAATGGAGTGGTAAAACGGATGAACAGGAGTCTATTAGAAAGAATGAGAGCAATGTTGAAGGCTGCAAGTCTAGGAAAGTCATTCTGGACAGAAGCAGTCAACACCATCTGTTATGTGATAAATCGATCTCCATCAATCGCAATTGAGCTGAAGACACCGATGAAGATGTGGACTGGAAAACCATCTGATTATTCTCAATTGCATATATTTGGAAGTCCTGTGTATGTGATATACAATACACAAGAAGTTAGCAAGCTGGATTCAAAATCCAGAAAATGTGTATTATTGGGATATGCTGATGGAGTGAAGGGGTATCGCTTGTGGGATCCCACTGCCCACAAGGTAGTGATCAACAGAGAGGTCATATTTACAGAAGGTAAAATGCAAATGGAAGAACATAATAGCATTCTAAAGGAGACTACAACAGTTCATGTGAAAAATACTCAAAATCATGCTTCTTCTGAAGCTGTACCAAACCATGAAGAGCAAGAACAAATAGAGTCTGAAACTCTTAAAGTTCGACGATCGACTTGTGAAAGAAGACCACTGGCTTGGCACTCAGAATATGTTATTGAAAGTAACATTACATATTGTCTACTAATAGAGGATGGAGAGCCATCAACTTTTCATGAGACTATCAAAAGCACAGATGTATCTATGTGGATGACAACAATGTAAGAGGAGATTGAAGCTCTGCACAAGAATAATACTTGGGATCTTATTCCACTACCATAAGGAAAAATGGCCATTGATAACAAATGGGTTTACAAGATAAAATGTAATGGCAATGATCAAGTGGAGCGGTATCATGCAAGATTGGTGGTGAAAGGATATGCTCAGAAAGAAGGAATAGACTTCAATGAGATATTTTCTCCGGTGATAAGACTTACAACAATTAGAGTAT